GTCTTTATCATCGTTACGTAATGATGAATTTAACAATATTATTTAATAAAATTTAAGTAATATTAAAAAAAATTAAAATAATAATACAATACAATACAATATATAATAACCATCCAAACAAGCTATTAGTGAATGACAATCTTATGCTATACCCTGAAAGCTAACATAACATGAGTGATGGTAATTTAAACGTCTGCATTTTCTGTTATCGCTCAATAATGGTTAGCATACCTGCTACAGTTGCTTTGGTAGGGTGGATCTAGTGCTAGGGCATCGGGTTCATCGAAACACAAAACTACAATATTGTATCTGAGCATATTTTTTTTTTTAAAAAATCTATATCTACTTATATCTATATTATATTAAAAGTGGGAAGCCCATAACTGAAAAGTTAAATTACATAAATACCCTTCTAAATAATTTAAATATAAAAAAATATAATTAATTAATAATATTTATTAAAAAGAAAAAACCCAATTTTATTTGACATGTCCTTTCCAAAAGGTTGTGTCTTTTTAGTAAGTAATTAAACGTCCTTTTTCAAATCTATTTAACCTCTAATTTAGTGGAAAATTATACTCCTATTTAAACATAAAGATACACATTCTCGTATTAAAGAAACGATTGATTAATAAATTTATTCTCTTCAATTAAGGTACATGCGTTTGTAATGCGTTAAAATGGTTAGACGACCACTATGCTTAATCCTTTTGTTATTACTAATTTGCTTGCTCATACCAAACTTCTTTTCGGTCTTTATATCATTTCAGATTATTTGGGTCACTAGAGTGAAGATAATTTTTTTTCCTTTTTTATTGGTTATGAATTTGTCTATGTGCGTTGGTTTATTCTTAAATTATTAAAATAACCTTTTCATAAAATATATATATATTTCGCGATAATAATCAAAAAAATACCTGAAAGATATTTTGTGTTCTTTCATCAATAATTAACTTTTACGAAATTGTTTGTCTAGAAGGAAAGAACTACTTATTTAAAAAAAAAAAACATAACTGATGCCTTGATTTAAAGGGTTGTGTTCCTTCAGATTAGAATAGATTTTCAAATGTTTTGCTTCACAGTTATTTTATCACACGTGATAGTAGCAATCTAAAATGAAAAACAAATAGTTGAATCAATTATTAGATTGATTTCCTTGTGCTGATCCTTTTTCTTTCATTTGCACACAGATAGGTATGAATTTTTGCTGTTACTTAACTGTATGCAGCTTTTGACTCTCCTCTATGGAAAAATGAGTATCCGTAGTAGTGGCACAACTGATATCATGGCGAACATTAATATGTAAACTGAAGGTACTACTGATTGTTTAGCATTTAGAACTAGCAATTACCACTCTAATGTTATAATTGTATTTACTTTAATAATTTAATTCACATTTGTTCAACTATTGCTGAATAATTAATTTCTAGTTAAAGGCTTTCAAGTAAAAATACTTCTTCTTAAAACACATTTTGTTATTCTTCATTCTACCAATGTTGAAGAATATATTCATTTTTTTTAAAGAAAAAAAATCTTATACTTCAATTCCAAATTTTTTTTCTTGAGTTCTTGTGGTATAAGAAATTAGTAAAGAATAGAAATTTAATTTCTTTAGTAGGTATTATATCCTGAGTATCGAATTTCTATTAAACTGTTTGCACAGTGTAAAGAAATTGCTATCCTCAAAATAGTTTCATTGGAAAAGGTGCTGCCTGCATTCCTTTAACATTTTAATTAAAATTCTTTGCATAATTTGATATTTGGATAATTTTTAATATTTCTACAATATGCAAGTGGTGGTGAAAATATGGATATCGTTTTAATAGTCACATTTATTGATAATGTTATCCACTAACCACTGCTCTTTTAATTCGGAAGAGGCATTACAACTTACGGAAGAAATATTTTATCTATATTTATAACTTCAAAAGTAAGATACCTTTATTGACTTTGATAAATAATTTTAAAGGTGAGTCATAAATTTATTTGTTCCAAGTTGAAGGGGAGTGCGACAATTTAATAGTCTTTAAAAAAAGTTTTTAGTCTTTTTTTGGCACAGGAATTTTGAATACTTAATTTCTTAACAATATTTAGCATAATTTTATGAGTTCTAGCTTTTTTGAACAGTATTTGATAGAAGTTTAAAAATCAGTATTTGACGTTAAAGTTGAAGTTGAAAAGAAGTTTAAAATTTTGTTTGATATAAATTTCATTTAAATAAGAAGTTAAACTTTTGTGAGTGATACGTTGCTTCTTTTGAGATAATGAAACTAAATCTTTAGCTTCAAAATCATTAGAGACAGAGAGAGACTTGCAATAAATATGTGTTCAAATACCTTAATAAATCAAACATAAATTCTTAAAGTCTGCATATATGATAAAAATTTAATATTTTGCAATACTAATTTTATAGTGATGTGAGATAAACGTGCAACTCACGTTCAAAAATACTAGTATAATAATAAGTACTTTAAAGGTCAAACTTATCAAATTAAAATCTTAAATTTAAATTTGTTTGTGCGCTTTGGTCGTATCATTGGGCTTCCTTAATAGAGATAAAAATCAACATCAATATGCACAATAAGTAGGGAGAAGTGCACGATTAGCCACTAATAACATATGTATTTACTTTTAAGCCATTGTTTAAAATGTCTTTAGTCTTTAGCTAATGCTTTAATAAACTTTACTTGCCCGAACGAAAATACCCTTCTACTTATAAAGTTCAGGACCAAGTGTCCTTAACTTTTGAACTTGTAACTCTAAGTTCAGGATTTCAGGACTACATGTCATTAACTTTTGAACTTGGAACTCGAAGTTCATGACCACATGTCCTTAATTTCTGCGCTTGTAACTCTAAATTAATGACTACTTGTCCTTAACTTATGAACTTGTAAGTCTAAGTTCAGGACCAAGTGTCCTTAACTTTTGAACTTGTAACTCTAAGTTCAGGACTTTAGGACTACATGTCCTTAACTTTTTAACTTGTAACTCTAAGTTCAGGATTTCAGGACTACATGTCATTAACTTTTGAACTTGGAACTCGAAGTTCATGACCACATGTCCTTAATTTCTGTGCTTGTAACTCTAAATTAATGACTACTTGTCCTTAATTTTTGTGCTTGTAACCCTAAGTTATTGACTACTTGTCCTTAACTTATGAACTTGTAAGTCTAAGTTCAGGACCTATTGTCCTTAACTTTTGAGCTTGTTAGTCTAAGTTCAGGACCAAGTGTCCATAACTTTTGAACTTGTAACTGTAAGTTCAGGACCTATTGTCCTTAACTTTTGAACTTGTTAGTCTAAGTTCAGAATTTCAAGACTTATTGTCCTTAATTTTTGAACTTGTAACTGTAAGTTCAGGACCTATTGTCCTTAATTTTTGAGCTTGTTAGTCTAAGTTCAGGATCAAGTGTCCTTAACTTTTGAGCTTGTAAGTCTAAATTCAGGACCAAGTGTCCTTAACTTTTGAACTTGTAACTGTAAGTTCACGATCCATAACGTAACAGAAAACCAAAAATACATCAAAAAAATCACAAACCGAAATACATCTACCACCATAATTGCATACATCAAAAATTTTCATATAATTCACCACTTTCTAACATTTCCAATTTGATTCGTTTCATACATAAGAAAATTACAGAAAAAAATTTCAGATCTGCACTTGCTATTCCAATTTCTACTCGAATTTTCTTCTCGTAACTTGCAGAATCTTCCATTTTCTCTTGTATGCAAATTTTTTTAATTCGGATCACCAATGACAACTTTGAGCTGGAATTTCTGCAATGAGTTATCGAAGGTCAGTCTCTGCTACGAGCTATCGGACATCATGTCCTTAATATTTACACAACAAAGGATAAAAATATCTTTTCATATTAATTTTAAGAAAGCAATGACTATTTTTGCTCAACATTAAAAACACTGGATAAAAAGTAAATACCATATTAAAAAGTGACTATTCCACGCCATTTCTACCAATAAGTAGAGCACCTAAAGAGAAAATGATTTTCATCATAAAACAAAAAGACAAATAGAATGCACATACGGATTGATTTGGCTTACCTCCTGTACAAAATCAGTCAAGTTCTTCCAGTTTAGGTTTAATTTTTATGACACCTGTCCCTTCTAATTAAATCTAAAGGTCAATATTTATTTAACTAAAAACAGTCCATCAGACCATGTTTAAATAAAAAATCATTCCCTGGATCAGTACCAATTTGGCAAAGCATCCGAAAATACTGCTAGGAAAATCGTTCTGGTTGGAGAAAAGATATTTTCTTACCATAAAAATCATGGAGAAACGGAATTTCTATTTTGTAACCATTACAAACAAACGTATTATCAAAAAGTAAGAGTAACTCAAAATTTATTGTAGTTCGATGTTACGATCGCTTCAATTTTGTATGCAATTAAGTTTTCTGCTACCATTAAAGATCAAACTCTATATGATGTCGGAGGGTGCAAATAACACTAATGAATTTTAATTATATTGAAGAATTACTGGAATTATGAAAATGATACATAGGTGCAGATGGATGGGAAGCAAAATAAAGTAGAACATACAACTGGAAATTGAGTTTATCACCATAGAACAAAAAGATAATGGAGTACATATAATGTAACCTGCCCATCTAGAGCGCCAATAGCATATTTAACTCCTTTTATAAACTTTACCTTTATTCTCTACTAGCATTTGCACGTACGAAATTTTAAATTCATAAATTTGTAGACGTAACACAGATGTATGCTATAGAAATGAAATAACATTGAAAAAGAAGTAAACTTTGGAAAAGAGATACCATTGTTGCCCATGCAAATAATGTACGCAAAGTTTTAAAGAATCTGTTTTATGTTAGTTTTAAAAGTAAAGTGGCTTAGTGGGTAATTTCTTTAGTCATCTAAACGCCTTTTGGAGCAAGGAGACAAAAATTAATGGCAAATTAGGAAGAAGGTGACATGATTTTCCATATTGTTCTTGTCTGTATCATTCTTCTTCCCGCTCCTACATATATCTCAAAATTAAAAAGTTCCCACTCTTTTTCTGTGATCATAATTCATACTACTTAGTTGCAAAAACCTTTCATTTCTGTTCAATTTCCATGGCACCCATTGACCCACATTCCTTCGCCGATTCAGCCCACCCGCTCACTACTCATATTTCCCTCACTTTCTTTTTCGATTTTCCATCTTTCACCATTTCCTCTGCCACTCTTCTCTCACTCCCCACCCCTTACACTGGACCCCTCACTCTCGATACTCGCTATCTCTCTGTCTCCTCTGTGCTTGACCCACTTTCCCTTTCCCCTCTCCCTTTCTCCCTCTCTCCTGATTCCCCAATTCTTGGACAGTCACTCACCGTTTGTCTTTCTAACCAAACCCAAATCTTGATTCTCTCCAAAACTAGCCCTTCGAGTTCTGCCCTTCAGTGGCTTTCCCCTCCTCAGACATTCAACAAGACTCACCCTTATGTCTACACCCATTGCCAGCCCATTCACGCACGTTCGATCTTTCCTTGTCAGGACACACCCGCTGCGCGTGTCAAGTACGCTGCGAAGTTGAACATCCCCCGCCAATTATCAGCTGTTATGGCCGCCAGACACGTGGAGAGGCGGGACCCACTTCCCTCCGAGGTCCAAGGGGTCTGTGAGGATTCAGTGTGGTGTGGGGATGATAGGGTGGTGGAGGAGTTCGAGATGGAACAGCCTATTCCTCCCTATTTGTTTGCATTTGCTGTAGGAGAGTTGGGTTTCAGGGAGGTGGGACCCAGGACAAGGGTATATGCCGAGGCTGTTAATGAGGTGTTGGATGCTGCTGCTAAGGAGTTTGCTGGCACTGAAGAGATAATTCAGGTTGGGGAGAAGCTTTTTGGACCTTATGAATGGGAAAGGTTTGATCTTTTGGTGTTGCCTCCGAGTTTTCCTTTAGGAGGAATGGAGAATCCGAGGATGGTTTTCTTGACGCCCACGGTGATTAAGGGGGGGGACGCCAGTGGATCGCAGGTGGTGGCTCATGAGCTTGCTCATAGCTGGACAGGGAACTTGATCACAAACAAAAACAATGACCACTTTTGGTTGAATGAGGTACTATAGCTTATTGTATTAAGCACTTTAAAATAAGACATGAAAAGTATAGGAAAATGCTTAATTTATAGAATGGTTAAGTTGTCTTTCCTATTCTCTAAATAAATTTACACCAATAGAAGGGGTAGCCTAGAGGTTGAAGAGTCTGATAGAGACGAATTCTTCTATTGAATGTCGTTAATTGTTTTTGTTTTGGCTCTATTTACATTTGGAGTTCCTTGACCTTTGTGTTCCATCACTTTAAAAACTCCACCTTAGACCATAGCCTTCTAAAGCACTTTTGTTCTTTCATATGAATTGTGGATTAGAGTGTGAAATATGATTTCGCTATAACGACAGTGGAATAAATGAAGTCCAATGCTTATATTAACTTCTGTCTGCAAAATCAAACTTAGGCATGTACTATGAATCTATGATTAACTAATGTTCTGAGGGCACTCCTATTAAGTTTGTTATAGAAAAGAGGGATTCTTTCGTTCTTTCTTTCAATAATTAACAATGTAATAAGTTAGACTGATTCTGGTGTTTGAAGGGTTTTACAACATATGCAGAGCGAAGAATTGTTGAGGCTGTGCAAGGCGAGGAAATAGCTTCATTAAATATTGGAATTGGTTGGAAGGGACTTGTTAAGGAAATGGAAAGATTCAATGATAACATGGAGTTCACCAAGCTAAAGACAAATCAGGCAGGTGTCGACCCGGATGATGTGTACTCTGTAGTTCCATATGAAAAAGGCTTCCAGTTTTTACAGCGCATTGAAAGACAGGTTGGTAGATCATCTAGTCTAGGAGGTATTCTACTTGCAAGAACGAACTTAACTTTTTGTCCACTTTCATTTCTCAGATTGGAAGACCTGCTTTTGATGAATTTCTGAAGAAGTATATTGCTACCTTCAAGTTTCAATCTATTGACACCGATATGTTTCTCAATTTCCTTAAAGTTAATGTCCCTGGAATAGAGAACAAGATTGATTTGAAACTTTGGACCGAAGGCACAGGGATCCCTCCAGATGCCATAGAACCAGTTTCTAACATCTATTCAAAGATTGTTTCACTCGCTAATGAGTTCAAGCTAGGTAGGACGCCAATAGAGGATGAAGTTGCTGACTGGAAAGGACAGGAATGGGAGCTTTACCTCGAGAACCTGCCTAAATCTGTTGAAGCATCTCAGGTAGTAACTGGCCATTAAATGAGAAGTTTCCCTCAGTAAATTGGCAAATTATTTCTTTTCCCATTTGATGAAGTGTGTGCTTTTTCCTTATTTTCTAGTGATAAATCTGATTTAACATTTTGAAAACTTTTTTTACTTTATACAGTGCTGAATCCTCTATCTGTTATTAGTTGATTGTTATTTGTGGTCACACACCTATATACATAAATTTCTTGGATAGACCATAGAAAAATATGTACATATACCATGTCCATATATGTTGCTCCTTTTGTAAATTCCTTTTACCTATGGATCTCTAACATGATGAATTGTCAACTGTTTCTTCTCTCTTGCTGGTCTTGGTGCTTGACTGCAGCCTATCTCATTTTACAACTAAAATTTGTTTCTACAAATTTAAGCAGCAGGCAAATTGATTCAAATGTTTGTTCATCATGCATGTCGTCAGTCGATTCGAACACATGCACCATAGGATTGTGCTGCTTCTTCTCTGTGCTTGTACATGTCCCCATGATTTCGTGGACAGCATTTTAAAAATAAAATAAAATTCAAGTCGACAATGTTGTCTGTTCATTCTTTGTTGTTCCCCCCAATTCTTATCATTTATGTTCTCATTCTTTTAACTATTATTTCCATTTCTTTAACTCATGATTATGTTTCTAATCAAGTAATAAAATCTAGTGCTGGAAGACGTCCACCTCAGTTGATGGTTTTGCACCCCCTACCTCACTGCTAGGAAAATGTCTTGCCTTGCACTCTTGCCTTTAAGATATTGCTTGAACACCCCTATTCCGAAATGGAAAATAGTCGTTCTAAGTCACTTTGTGCTATTTTCAGGTCAGAGCATTAGATGCTGTCTATCATCTTTCTGAATCAAAAAACTATGAGGTCAAGGTAGCTTTTCTTCAGATAGCCATTTCAGCAAGGTGCAGAGAATACTATGGTGTGGTAGAAAAAACTCTGAAAGAAATTGGCAGGATATTGTACCTTCGTCCGCTCTACACTGCACTTGTGCAAGGTGCTGGAAAGGAAGAAGACAGAGTTTTCGCTAGAAGGGTATTCTCGGAAGCCTGTGATTGTTATCACCCCATAGCTCATGCTGTCATTGAAGCTACTCTTGCCAAACATATTTGAAGTTTGTGTGAAGCCAAACCTTGCTAATGTAATCCTAATGTAAAATAAAAACATGTTTAGCAGCTAATGTAATTCGAGGTTTGTGTAAAGCCAAACCTTGCTAATATAAAATAAAAAGGAAAGCAGTGAAATTTTTGCTACCTTGAATTGTGAAAAATGCTTCTCCAAGAAAAACATTTCTACCAAAAGTGGAAAGATGACTTCCCTCCTCAGTTATGAGCTTGAAATCATTTTTCTTTAGACTTATATCATAACTCTTACTATCACTTAGTATTTTGAAAAATAACACTTATCAACCTTGCAAGATATAAGAGATATCTTGAAAAAAATGTCACCATACCTTCTGTAGGATTACCATATCTCACCAACTTTTATATCAAACCAAACACTAACAAATAATCCAAGGAATTATTTTTCAAGATGAAACATTTTGCCCCCGAATGCACTCTGAATTTTCCCTAATGGACAAACTTCAAGAAAGGTGACTACCCCCCCCCCCCCCCCTAAAAAACTCATATATTGAACTCATAGAGTTTAAATCCTGGTCCGCCTCTAACTAAACGGGAAATCTTGAAACCATGTATGAATGCTTGGCTCTTTGTTCATAATGAAGAAATTCCAGCTGCTTTGAAGCCTTATAGAACTTTCCAGAAGGAGAAAAAGTTGGAAGAAAATGACTTTACTGGGGCTGTTTTTGAAGGGAAGTTTATGGTCCTGATGAGTTTAAAGCCCTTGAGAACTTTCTTAGTCGGCTGAGATTTATGCCAAGATTTTGGGGTCTAATGAAGAGTCCTGCATTTGCTGTTGTTGGGACTCTAAAGGCTGTAGCAAGGAATATTGTCATGATGCTTCAGGCTTATGTGAAGAAGTTGGAAGAAGTGGAGTTCAATAAGTGGTTTTATGGCTGGCAATATGGTAAGTTAATGTTTGTCTGTCAATTCGATTCAATTTTTTTAGAATTTGTGGAAATGGAATTTTGTAAATCTAGTTTTCTCGAGATATTTGATAATTAGTTTCTGATTATTCTTCCTAGTCGTGTGGTTAGCGTTGTGGATATAATGGTAACCATTTACTGGAACTAGGGCGTGTTATGTTATGTACTAACTAATGTGTACCTTTATGATATATATATAAGTGGAGTCTTGTTTTGACTGAATGAGAAATTGATCTATTGTTGTTAGAGTTTTCAGCTTTAAAATGTGGTGCGTTGTTTCTAAAATGATGATGGACTGAATGAATCAACTAAGATGTTGATGAAAAAATGGTCTGCCCAGGCCTTAGCTTAACCAACATTTCTTTTTAGTTCCGTTCCCCGGCATGCTAAACAAGAAAAAAAGGAACAATAAGAAGAAAAGAGTTTGATTTCTCATTTCTCAATGTATTTTTGATGAATGAGAAAAATATATCTTTTGTGTTCTAGTTCTTCTGAGCTCACAGGTTAAGGATTATAGCTCCTTAGTCTTCCCGCAAAAAGCAAAGCATCAAAGACCTATGTCCTCTAGGTAGGAATTAAGGTGTGCCTTCACCTAAAATATGGTGGCTTCCTCTTTCCATTAATTACTCTTTGTTTTCGTATCGTAATTTCAGCCTTTATATGTACCAAGTGATATATGCATCTTGTACTTACTAGTTACTCCTAACAATACTAGATTTCAACTGATATTTTCTAGAAATCGAGTCTTGTGTTAGGCTGCTTTGATTTCCTTTTCTCTTGTAATCTACCCCATCTCGACCTAGTCCTCCTAGCTTCCTGTTCCTATAGCATACATTTGTGCATGTGCTTGTGTGATTTGAATCTAATGAAATAGCTTTCTTCAAAGTTTCCATGCCACAAGGTTTTTATAAATCTTAGCATGGTGCATTATCTCTGCTTTAAAGTTTGATTTCCATGAGTGCTATTTCCTTATATGTGTCTAAGCCAAGTGCATAGGTTTGTTTTTTGTTATAAAGCTGAACCTTGGAATGGCGAGCATTCTGATGATAGATCCGTAGTTACCTTTGTTCAGTGTAGCTTCTCTAGACAGGTAGATACAAGTGTATTCTAAGAACTTTTGGAGGATGTCACTATAAACCTAATTTTTAAAATGCTGCATGTCATTTCTTATCACAAAAATTCTTGTGAGAACACTAAAATCACCAGGTCAACTGCTTCTGTGATGCCACATACACATAGAGACGATTTTTTTTGATAGGTGATGCCATATAGAGATGATAAAATCTTGTATCGGTCCATCAGCTGGAACTAGTTATTTCTGGTAATGTTAATGTGTGTGACTGTGTATCTCTAGAACTGGACCAGAATTTGTCCAGCTGTAGTTCTAGAACTCATCATATTCAGCAGTTCTTTGTCCATTAAGATGTTTTCCACTTGATATTTGGTTTTTGATTGGGGCAATAATTCATCCAAGTCCAAAATGCTTGTCTACTAGAATTTGCTATTGAGGAAAAATATTGATTTGCTAGAGTGTGCCTAAATATTTTCAAAACTATAACATGATGTTTTAAATTTACGATCTTATTCTTCTTGTGTACTACTGAAGAAGTAACTTCTCAAGGTTTGTGATGAAAAATGATTACATTGATCGAGAGAGTGAGAGAGAGAAGGTTAAGGGTGAGGTTTTACTCAAACAGAAAGGCAGATATAAGATGTCTTGTAGGTTTAGATCTTAAAAGTGATGTTCCCATGTCCAAAGTGTAAATTTCCTTCTCCCTCTTAACTAATGGGAGGAGCTTACTTTTGGGACTATGCGATGAGAAGGTGTATGTCTTGCTAAACACATAAAACCTTAACACAAGAAAGTGACGAAGTAGCAGAATACAGCACCAGCGGAGCATACAAAGGTAACAACATCCATAATAATGAATGCTTTAAAAGCTACTTTCCTTATTAGAATTGCCATCCCCTGATTAGGTACAGTGTTGCTAGACGAGATTGTCAGTGCCATACGGGAAAACCAATATCAAGAACAATTGAGAGAACAAAAATGAGAATTGAGAATGAAAGAAAGCTTGATTGCATTAATGAAAGCTATTGCAGAAAAACAATGCGGTGTCGAGGGGAAGAGACACCAGTACAAAAAATTGTTTGCTTGCTAGAAAGTTTGATTGCTTGATCCCCCAAATAGTGCTTAAAAAAAATAAACCAAAGTTACAAGGCTAGACTTAACTAAGCTAGAGAAACATAATGGAACTACATGAAATAAAACTACTCTATATTTACAATGAAAAGAACTTAGTTTTCTACAAGGTAGAAACAGGTCCTCAGCAACATTGTCTTTGGTATCACGGTCTCCGCGCACGACGTTGTATGCACGCGGGCGCTGTTGGCATTTGCCTGCGGCTAGGCACTGTCGGTGGGGCGACAGAGGCACATGCGCACTTGTCACTTGGCGCAACCAAGACCACGGGACCGTCCGTGACGCTAGGCGTTATGAGGCTTGCTAGGACGCCAGGGGGCGCACCCAAAGAGTCATGGGGCATGGCTAAATCATTTTTTTGTTTTCTTTCTCACTTTTCTCTTCCTGTTGTTGTGTCTGGTCCTTTGTTTTCACTTTTTCCTTTGGCTTTGCTTTGTCCTGCAGCCCTATCTTGAAATCACGTCTTCCGATTCTACAAACTTGAAGCAAATGGGCATTCTATTCTGTCCTATAATTGTTATCCAATGTCATTGTTTGCCTCCCAAAGTTCATGGATGATGACAGTTTTGTCTAATAGTGTGATGATCCAAAAGGTCATCACTTGTTTTAAAAGTTAAATCTGTGTTCCGAGGTCTTGAAAACCTTTTTTTGTCTCACCTTTATTTGCTTGCGCAGTCCGGACACATTTCCGGAAAGCTTTTGTGTGAAATTTAAGAAAAATAATAAAATTGGCCTTTAAAATTGATTAAAGTTGACTTTGGTCAATATTCTTGGTAAACGGGTCCGGACCAGTGATTTGACGGTCCCGGAGGGTCCGTAGGAAAATATGGGACTTGGGCGTGAGCCCGGGATTGAATTCCGAGGTCCCTAGCCCGAGAAATGAATTTTTGAAAGAAATTGTTTAACTGAAATTGCAAGAGTTTTTGGAAAGTTAACGATGTTTGAATTTGATAGTATCGGGCCAGTATTTTGGTTTCGGAGCCCGGTACAGGTTTAATATGGTATTTGAGTTGTGCCTGTAAAATTTGGTAAGAAACGGAGGTCATATGACGTGTTTCGGACCCTCGGTTGTACAATTTGAAACTTTAAGAGTTCTTGAGATTTTCCTTTGATTTTGATGCTAAACTCGTAGTTCTAGGTATTATTTTGGTGATTTGATCGCACGAGTAAGTCCGTATGATGTTCTTAGGTTTGTGTGCAAGTTTGGTTTGGAGCCCCAAGGGCTCGGGTGAGTTTCGGGATGTTTTGGACTTAGAGATTTCTGCTGTCTTGGTTGTTGCAGGTGCACAGGTATTTTCTTCTTCGCGTTCGCGAAGGTACTCTCGCGAACGCGAAGTGTAAAAATTGTCTGAAAGAAATTCCTTCTACGCGAACGCGAGGCACAGTTGGCGAACGCGGAGTGTTGGGGGCATTACCCTTCGCGAACGCGACCTAGCTATCGTGAAGGTGAAGGCCTTTCTAGCAGGGACCTGGTGGAGGGTAAAATACTCTACGCGAACGCTGCGATTGGCTCGCGAACGTGAAGGTCAGGGGGGTGAACCTTCGCGAAAACGTACAATATCTCGCGAATACGAAGGCTCTTCTAGCCAAAGCTTCGTGAACGCGAAGAAGGTTTGCCCAGCGAATTAAAAACAGAACCTAGGTCGGGATTTCTTCAAAATTTCATATCTCCTTCCCTAAAATCAGACCTTGGGCAATTTTTGAAGAAAAGTTTCAACACCAAATCATTGGTATGTGTTCTTAAACCCATTTCTTTCATTTTTCATCAACACCCATTAGATTTCTAGGCCTAAATCTTGTTCTTTAAGGGTAGAAATTAGGGATTTTAAGAGAATTAGGAATTTTAGAAATTTGGGAATTTAGACCTCGATTTGGGGTCGGATTCCAAAACTAATTGCATATTTGGGCTTGTAGGTGAATGAGTTTTGGTTCGAACCTCGAGTTTTGATTGAGCAGGCTCGGGTCGGGTTTTGACTTTTTGGAAGAATGTTGTGATATCTGTAATTTTTCATTTGAGTTGGTTTCTTTGGCTTCAATTAATGTTATAAGTTAATATTGACTAGATACAATTGAATTGGAAGAGGAATCAAAAGGAAAGCGGTATTTGAGACTTGAGTTTGGCCGTGGAATTCGAGGTAAGTGTTTGGCCTAACCTTAGTTTGAGGAAATAGGTGTTGTGTCTTATTTTCTATGTGTTAGTGTCGAGTACGACGTATATGTGAGGTGACGAGTATCTATACGTGTCAAGCATGCTCGTAAGGCTTATATTAATATTGTTGTGGCTTCATTATCTATTATTCAT